AACATGAAGGATTATTCCAGATTCTCCCCATGCTGGGCATGTCCTAAATGCCCATTTTACAGAATGCCCATGCTGGAACAGGAGAAAGTTCGGAGACAGAACCACAAGGACTATTGAATATCTTGGCCTTGACCATCCTGTCCCTGTGTTCTGAGTCAGCTACAGGACTGTGTCTGTAACTAATCAGTGACAACTTATGACAGAAGTTTGTAATATTTAGATTCATATTAAGAAAATGTATGATGTTGCAGGAGTCAGGAATTGGGTAGGGTTTAAATACTGCTTCAGAGTCACAGGAACACAGAGGCACCCAGAGCCACAGAGCCTCCCCTTGTATTTCCAGATTGTGACACAAATCCCTAAGGTTACAAAGATGGAAAACAATTTTCATGCAAAATCTGATTCAATCTTGCACATTCCCTGTGAAAGAAGCAGTTAGTCTTACTGGGGGTTAGAGTCAAACCTTTTTCCATAGCTAACTCTCGTAGCCTGGCCTGAGTTTCCCTGCTGTGATCAAGCATCCCTGATTAATGACAAGGAAGCAGCCAGACACACACTTTGCCAACTCCATCATTACCTCCTTGTCATGGGTGCTGCCAGGCCCCACAGGCAGCTTGGGCCAAGTCTCTGTCATGCCTAAGAAATGGAATTTAACCTTCCTGGTGACCTAAGCATGGCATCCCCACAAACGAGGTGTGCCTAGGGGCACTGAAGCCAACCAGACAGCTCATTTCTTTCTTTACAAAATGACACTGGCATCATTGTCCTAGCGGGAAATGAAGGTGACCTAATTCCTTAGGACCTGGGTAAGGCTCTGTAACTTCACTGCAGCCCCATTCAAGCACTGTTTCCAACCCACATTTGCAAAAGTGTTTGTCCTGGGGATGGTTCAGTCCAATATATTGTTAAATATCCACAGCTGTTGAGGACATTCTGGCAGTGGGCCCCTGCTCCCCTCTTGCTGCCTTCTCACACTTCCTGCACTCAGGCTGTGCTCCAGTTCAGGTCTCCCTTCCAAGATCCCTCAGGGCTGCAATCAAGAAAGGAGCATCCCACCTGCCACAGAACCAGCATCCTTTATCTTGCATGAAGAATGTGCATTGTTCCTCTGTTTTAATGCTGAGGCAGAGCCCAGAGCGTGGAACACCAGGAAGGGTGCTGTGAGCTGGGGATGTGCTGAAGCAAGGCAAGGACAGACAGGCTGCACACCAGCAGCATGTCTAAGGTGCAAGTCAGTGCTGGTTTTAAATAAATCTCCCTCATCCTCCATGGAAATGCTGTGTCCAAGGATCCTCTGCAGTCCTTTACAACAGCTTTGGATCCCACCACCACATCCTTTCACAGCACCCATTTTTAAACATGACCCCAAGGCCTTTTATCACTTAAAAAACAGAACCTGAGATTTTAAAAGTAAATTACATTAATTAACTTCCTCTGCAGAAGAGGAAAGGGTGAAGCTTTCACACAGCTTAATTGTTGGCTTGGAGCTCCATGACTTCACTACCAACGTTTCACACTATTTTTCATCAGGTCCAAATCAATCTCAACCCTCCATTACCCTCCACACACATGCTCAGCATGTAGAGCCCAAAATGACAGACTGTATTTCAGCCTAACTCATTGAGAACAATTTTTTAATCATTTTTCTCCTCCACAGGAAGAAAAACTACAGCTCATGCATGCATGAACATCTACCATCAGCTACCAGCTGATTGAGAAATGGGGGGACCACATAATGCACACCTGCAGCCACAGTTCAGGTGATACAGCTCAGCATTAATGCAGGATTATAGAGTGTTGTCTGTACTTGAGCATATAAAACATTCCCCACCAAATGCAGCTCAAACACAGGTAAAGCAAAATAAAAAGGGTACAAAGAGCCATGAGCAAAGCATTAAATCAGCTGGTTCTGGACTCCTTTCTCAGTATTACTGCAATGTGGCTTCTGAAAGAAAACAAGTGTATTGAATTAGTGCAAGTGGAAAATGGGTTCTTTGACCAAAATGGAAAAAAATAGCAGGGGTAGGAGGGAGTTGTATGGGCAAGATTCTTTAAACAATTTTGGGGGGGGGTTTCTTTAACTGGAGAATTGGAAAAATAAATTTGGAGATTGGCAAATTTTCATCTAAACATTTCAATAGCCAAAGACTCAATTCTGGCTTTAGTTCACTCTTCAATGATGATATCCACTAAAAAATGTCAATAATATGAGAAAAAGTTTTTGTTGTTTTCATTTTCCACAAAAAAAAAGGATTCATCTTCAGTGCAACTCTCATTTCAGTCTGTACTTGTCACAGGCTGGATGGGCAGAGATTTACTCCCTCAAATGACTCCCCTCCACTAGAATCTGCCAGGGGAAGAAAGAATAACACAAAGAAGAGGGACGATACACAAGTCACAATGAGGGGTAGAACAGAAGAGGGTGAAAGCACCTAGCAAAATGACACAGAAAGAGAGCAGGAAGGGTGAAAGAAAGAACAGTGTTATTTTTTTCTCCCCCTTCCATTACGAAGAGTTTAATTTTCTTTTCTTCATCCATTGTAGAAAACCTCACATGTTCATGGTTTTAAATGGTAAAGACAAAGCCTGGGAAAGGAAACAGAGTAGAGTTGCATGAGGTCAGCCTGTTTCAAGTCCCAAACCTGAGCCCACACCTTTTCCCACACTACTTTATATTTTACTGTCACTGATGTGCTGTCCATCAGCTTTCTTAGCAGCCTATAACAAGGTAACAGAAAAGCGGAGCCCACAGTGCTCCTTGGGGAGCCAAAAGAGATCTAACATTTTAGAAATGCTTACCCACATACAATAGTTCAGAGAAAAGCTGTTTGAAAACAGAGGGTTCAGGAGTTGGGAAATATTTGCAGAATGTCATCTATAAAACCTTAGATTGGCTTTTGCATGTGGAATTGTTTGTTGTTGTTTAGAAGTTGTTCATTGTAGAATTGTACTGGTTGCGTTTTTTGTGTGTTCCAATTGAATGTTTGATTGTCATAAGCATTATCCCTATTTTTGTAGTCCCTTACTCATTTGTTTCTTGCTATTGATGCATTGTTTGTAAGTTTAATAATCCCTTTTAAGTTTGTTACTTTCGAGGTTTTCAAAGCAAATCCCCTCACCAGCAGCATCTTGCAAAGAATTTTTAACCTGCCCCAGAAGACTTGTAACTTGACACCACAGCAATGGTGCATACTAATGAGGAACTTTCCCTCCAAAACCTCAGTTACCCCAAGGACAGCAAACTGTTGGAGGAGAAGATGTTCCCAGCACCAATCAACAATAACTATAGGGGTGGGACTGCCAGCAACAAGCTGAGGGGACAGAGATTATAAAAGGAGCTGTGAAGTTTGAAGAACTGCCCTTTAACTGTGGATTAGCAGCTGAGGACCCGACACTGCAGACTTTGGTCTACATCTCTTTTAGAGACATTTTTATATAAATTTGAGTGCAGATTAGCTGCATTCACTGCAGTGCCACTGAGTTCTTGCTTTGGGACCAAAATGCCGGTTCGGCCAGAGGATTCCTCAATCCTCAAACCCGGGACTTTTTTAAATTTCTTTTCGTTTTTTCTCCCTCACCCATTATCCCTTCCTCCCCTTTGTTTTTTTCCCTTAATAAACACCCTAGTTTATTTGAACCCCCAAAGTTGTGTCTTTTTCCTCACACAGAAGAAATCATTTTCTGTAGAATATTGCTTTCAGAATGTAATGGATAAACAATATGCAATGGATAAACATCAGTTGAATGAAATGAGGAAGCAAGTTTTACAGACACCCAAAATGAATTCATGCCTTGTTTAGTTTTCAAAATGTTGTTTTTCCCCTGAAAATACATCTTAATTTGTGGTGCAGTTTGCTCTATATCATTGAGTACTTTTTCCTTAATACCCCTGTTCCATTTATCCCTCAAGGTGTCCTTATCACAAAACCATCCGAGCAGGTAGGGTAATGGATAAACTGTGCATGTAGACAAACACAAGAGGTGTTCCTGCAAAGTTTTATTGGTCCTGCCTGCACTGCTGCCAAAGAAACTCCTCTCCAAGCTGCTATCAGAGTTTGGTGACTGTCAAAGACCTGTCTAGGATGCTCCTGGACAAGCAGTCACAACGTGGCAGGGCTCAGAGGACTCCAGACATGGGGTTTGCACCAGTCTTTTGGAGGACAAGATGGTTATAAAACCCCTTTACTGTCCACCTCTGCTGGCTTACAGAGCACGTGGGTGGAATATTTGCTGTGTCTCTGCCTTGGCCTCGTGAACACATGGCAAACAGGGGAGAGGAAATATAACTGAGGGTTCATGGGCTGAGGTAAGGGCAGGGAGAGGTCACTCACCAAATAATATCATGGGCAAAATAGACTTGGAGATATTAACTGACTTTACTCCTGACAAGGTCAGAGCAGGACAGTAGAGAAGTAAAATAAAACCTTAAAAATACCTTCTCCCTACCACTTCCTCCTGCCCAGCTCTACCTCCTCCCTGAATGCTGCAGGGAGACAGGGAATAGGGTTCCAGTCAATTCATCACAGGGTGTTTCTGCTGCTGCTCAGGGAGAGGAGTCCTTCCTCTGCTTCACCATGGGGTCCCTCCCACGGGAAACAGTAATCCATGAGCTCCTCCAGTGGGTCCATCTCACAGGCAACAGCCCTACACAAACTCCTGCCATGAGGATCACTCCTCCACAGGGTCAGTCCCTCAGGAACAGGCTGCTCCAATCTGGGTCCCTCACAGGGTCACAAGTCCTGCCAGCAAACCTGCTCCAGTGTGGACTCCTGTCTCCATTGTGCAGGTCCCAGCACAGATTTCCCAGGCCTGCTCCAGTGTGGACTCCTCCAGGAGCTGCAAGTGGATCTCTGCATCCCCACAGACCTCCATGGCTGCAGAGACACAGGACAGTCTCCTGGAAATGTTTTTTAACACCCTACCAACCTCCCCTGATATTTTACTGCATTTTCCTCCCTTTTTTTCCCTGCAGCAGACAAGACAAGACAGACAGTTTCTGAGAAGATTTCAACAAGGTTTTACAGAAAGTGAATTTACCACTCCTGACTGTGAGTACTCTTGGTGGAAGTCTCAGGGTTGCACTCATGTAACCATGGAACAAAAATGACATTTTGACTATCTAAATACTTGTAGGCAGTCCACAAATAAATGATTATTCACAGAAATTATGGGCAGTATTATCTCAAATAACAAACACATTCAAGAACATCCAGGAAAGCTCACAGATAGTTTGCAAACAGATAAAAGGCCAAACACTTCCATTCAGTTACTTGCTGTAGATTATTCACACAGCTCTAATAACAGTCCCCTGTCTCCATGAGCCTGCATCAAATGCAGTCCAAAACTGGGACGGTGGTGAAAGTTCCCACTCTATCATCATGAAAATCCAGAGTTGAAGCTTTTTTCTTTTTTTTCCCCATTCATTTCTACCAAATAAAATCAAAAGATGGGATTATCTTCACAGAGTTTGGTTTTGAGTTGCTTCATTTGAGTGGCATGCAGATATTTTCCCTGTGGTTTTGCAGGATGTCCAGGAACACCTGTTGAATTTAAAAGAAAAGCACAAAATCCCCATGAAGCTGTGTTTTTATTTGGTTAGATTTGGAATTTTTCACCCTCTGTTTTTTAGGTTCTGACAGCAAGCACAGCCTGCAGGGAGCATTGCTTGGAAGCTGTTAAAGAGCAGTAATTGCTGCTTAAGGGGACTAGTTGCACAGGATATGATAAATGACCTCCCAGTGGCTACAATTCATGCAGCCACCAGGCTCTGGGCCAAACACCCTCAGTGTGTCTCAGCCTCCACAGAGGTGGCACCCACCCCACAGCTGTTCCTCCTTCCCTTGCTTGTGCCACAAAAACCTCCCACACCGTACTGGGGCCTCAGCCACTGGGCTGCACCCCGTGAGCACCCCTCAATCCAGAGCAGCAGCCACCCTCCTGTGAAGCAGAGAGCTGGAAACAAGCCCTGCCAGCCTTGGAGTGGCCAGCAGGGATGCTCTGGCAGCAGGCAGCTCAGGAGGTTGGTCTCCCTGGTTCAAGCCCACAGTCTTCACCCTAGGTACTCAGCCTGGCTAAAGAAAGAAATTTGGGCTGGTAGTATGCTCTGCTATTCACCTTGAAATGTTCCCATTTTCCTCCTGAAATTGTTGGTCACATCTTCACGTTTTCCAGGACCCAGAGAGTAGTTTGGTCTCCTTCACCTCGGAGGTTTCCAGCAGTGCTGTGCTCTTCACCTGTTGGGGGGTGGGTGTCATTCTTTTTGTTCCTTCTCAGTTATGGAATTTTTTGTACATTAGTTCTGGGGAAAACCTGATGGCTGGTACTTGTTGTGTGCTTGAGAATCAAAAGGAGTTTGGCTGGGCTCAGGGGGGAAGGGGAGCACGAAAAAGTGAGGGTGGGGGCAGCTGGGGGCTGGCTGGTTTCTTGGGCTGGAGAGTGAGACACTCTCTTGAAGCTGTTGCAGCTTGGAGAAGGGAATTTGCCATCACCCAGATGGAGCTGCTGCTTCTTCTTCCTTGGTGGACTTGCACCCCGTCCTGCCGGGATGTGTGGCAGTGCCAGCCACTGCTGCAGATACACCTCAACTACCGGCTCAGGATCTCTGCTCATCCCTGCTGTTCCAGCTGAGTGTTCCTCAGAGCCCTGCAGGAGCACCGGGACTGGCTGCCCGAGGGGTTTGTGAAGCAAAGCCTCTCCTCCATCCCTTCCCGTCTCAGCCGAGAAAGCTGTCACGGGGTCCCTGGTTCTGTTTTGTTGTTAAAGCTGTAGTTATTGTTGTTTGTGTGCCTTGTTATACATACTAGTAAAGAACTGTTATTCCTATCCCCAGATCTCTGCCTGAGAGCCCCTTGATTTCAGAATTATAGTAATTTGGAGGGAGGGGGTCTGCGTTTTCATTCTGAGAAGGGTTCCTGCCCTCCTTAGCAGACACCTCTCTTCCAAACCAAGACAGATTTTGGCGCCCAGTGATGGGGCCCAAGGGCACTGAGAGAAAAAGGGTGAAAAAGGAATAACAGTTCTTAAATAACCTAATTTTTTTGTGTGCTGGATATTGAAACCCCATTAGGTGACCTCATATGGATGCTAGCTTTGGAGCAAGCTGCAGGCCCATGGCCTCTCAGTCCTGCCTGAGAAGGCTAGCCTGGGAAATTCATAGGACGATTTCAAAACAATCCTCAGAGACAGAAAACAACTGCCAGGTGCTGTTTGTCTGTCCTCTTGTTTTCCTTGCAGGAGAGAGTCAGGGGGGTGTTGTGCCCCCCTGACCAATGATGGTGATGTAGCACTTTACTAACCAATAAGAGTTTCCTTTCTGTACTTTCCACGTATCTGTCTATAAGACAAGCCTAGAGCAATAAACTAGAGAGATTTCTCCTGTTGTGACTCCTAGAGAGTCTATGTCGTTCTTTATCGCCGTTCCCAATCAGAACGACAACCTCATGTGGTTTAGGTTACCCAGGTTCTGCCAGCACATGGTCATGGCTATACTTCTCCCATTTGTTGCACCTTACCTAAACATGCGTCCTATAATTAAGGCCACTGTGGCTGTTATCCAGTTTGTTTTATGGGTTAATAAGGTGAAGAATTCATGGATTTTTAACTTCCTCTGGAAGGTGGACACATGGATTCAAAGCAATCACACAATAACTGGATGGGTTTTGGGTTACTTTAAAAACGGTACCCAGAATGAGGAAATGACACCAGAGGAAAATTTCCCCCAACCCTTTACCCAGCTCTTTGGGTCTATCCCACCAGTTTTCAAAGGGTTCAAATCTCTAGATGCTAATGATATCACACAATAGCTGGTCTTGCTGATAGGCCTATTCTATTTAGCTTTCAGGATAATCACCCTGACACCTACCTCAGAGACTCACCCTGACACCTACCTCAGAGACTAGGGATGCTGCCCCAGAACCTGACACAGCCCCAGAGACTAGGGATGCTTCCCCAGAGCCTGCCCCTGCCCCACAGCCCACCTCAGAAATGAACCACAAACAGTGGGTGGGTGTTCTGGTGAGGGAGATGTGTGAGATACTAAAGGAGTGCATTTCCTCAGCTGTTGGGAAACCCTCCCCCTGCCTCGAAGAGGAAGAGTCTGATGGTGCAGCAGTGGAACCCACAGATGTTACAACCGTCCAGGTTCCAGCTGAACCACAAGGGCAGTCACAGCCAGCAGCTGTTGCCCCTGTGGAAACAAGGAAGTCTAAGATGAAATCACAGCACCCTGTTGATAAGGATAAGAAAGGAGGACCCTCACATCTCACAGGGAAGCCAGAGGTTGAGATAATCACCAAGTCCCTGACATATGAGAGTCTCCATAATCTGCAAAAAGACATTGTGAGGCTGGGGCGGGAGGCTTATTGGTTACTTCAGGTCTGGGACCTTATGGGTACAGGTGTGCAGCTGGATGGTGGTGAGGCAAGGAATGTGGGACCCTTGACCCAGGACTCAGGTGTGAATCACGTACTCATCAGGGAGCCAGGGCCCCTTTCCCTCTGGGAGCAGCTTTTAATGAGTGTAAGAGAGAGGTTTGTCCACAGAGAGAGAATAGAGGAGAACCATCATAGAAGGGGCTGGAAAACCCTTGAGGAAAGAATCCAACAGCTGAGAGAAGTGGCGATATTAGAGGTCCTTCTTGGGAGGGGTGAACAGCATGATAATGACCCTGACAAAGTCAGGTGCACTGGGCAGATGTTGTGGAATCTGGCAAATCTAGGGCCAGGTGAATACACCACCTTCATTGCAACAATTAAGGCTGATAACAAGCCAGAGACAGTGAATTCTGTCGCCAACAAGTTTAGAAATTACAAGTATGATCCATGGCCTGATGCAGGCTCAGGTCTCTGCTGTGATTAAGAGTTTCCAAGAAGAGATGAGTGAAACGATGGCGGAGATGAACAAGAACAGCTCCCATCCATATGGGATGACCAGTGAGAGTCACAAGCCCCAAAGTCCAAGCCCAATGTCCCCCAGCTAGAAAGAGAGGGTACACCCCATGAGCTGAGCTGTGGTTCTTTCTGCGTGACCATGGGGAAGACATGGGAAAGTGGGATGGGAAACCCACTTCTGCCCTGGCAGCACGAGTGCGTCAACTCAGGGAGGGAAACACTAACCAGAAAGGTTCCACTAAAGTGAAGGTAGCCTCAACCTCCTGTGACCAAACTGACAGATATTACAGAAAAGAGGATGATCTGTTGGATCCCCTTGAAGGAACCTCTAGCATGTATGCCCAGGGAGAAGAGGATGACCAGTGCTAGAGGGGCCCTGCCTCTAGCCAGGAAGAGGCACAAGAAAACCAGGTCTTTTGGACGGTGTGGATCCAATGGCCTGGCACATCAGAGCCACAAAAATACGAAGCTTTAGTTGATACTGGTGCACAGTGTACCCTAATGCCATCAGGACATGTGGGGGCAGAACCTGTTTCCATTGCTGGGGACATGTGGGGGCAGAACCTGTTTCCATTGCTGGGGTGACAGGGGGATCGCAGCAGTTGACTCTGTTGGAAGCCAAGGTGAGCCTGACTAGGAAGGAGTGGCAGAAACATCCCATTGTGACTGGCCCAGAGGCCCCGTGTATTCTGGGCACAGACTTCCTTCAGAATGGCTATTACAAAGACGCAAAGGGACTCAGGTGGGTTTTTGGAATAGCTGCTGTGGAGGCAGAGGACATTAAGCAATTGAATACCTTGCCTGGACTATCAGAGAACCCATCTGCAGTAAGACTCCTGAAAGTGGAAGAACAGCGAGTACCAATTGCCACCTCGACGGTGCACCGCCGGCAGTATAGGACAAAACGAGATGCTGTGATCCCCATCCACAAGATGATCCGAGAACTGGAGAGCCAAGGGGTGGTCAGCAAAACTCACTCACCCTTCAACAGCCCCATCCACTGAGCACAGCCATGCCAGACATGCTGGAGCTCCAGTCCAAGGCAACGAAGTGGTACGCCACTATGGACATTGCCAATGCATTTTTCTTCATTCCCCTGGCAGCAGAATGCAGGCCTCAGTTTGCCTTCACCTGGAGGGGAGTGCAGTATACCTGGAACCTACTGCCCCAGGGGTGGAAGCACAGCCCCACCATCTGCCATGGACTGATCCAGGCTGCCCTGGAAAAGGGTGAGGCTCCAGAACATCTACAGTACATTGATGACATCACTGTGTGGGGGAACACAGCAGTGGAAGTATTTGAGAAAGAAGAAAAGATCATCCAGATTCTGCTAGAAGCCGGCTTCACCATCAAGAACAAAGTCAAAGGACCTGCTCAAGAGATCCAGTTCCTGGGGGTAAAGTGGCAAGACAGACAGCATCAGATTCCCACTGAGGTCGTCAATAAGATCACAGCAATGTCTCCACCGACCAGCAAGAAGGAAACACAAGCTTTCCTAGGTGCCATAGGTTTTTAGAGGATGCACATTCCTGAGTACAGCCTGATCATGAGCCCTCTTTACATGGCTACCCGAAAAAAGAATGATTTCCACTGGGGCCCTGAACAACAACAAGCCAGATAAAGCAGGAGATCGCTCATGAAGTAGCCCTTGGCCCAGTCAGGACAGGACCAGATGTGAAGAACGTGCTCTACTCTGCAGCCAGGAACAATGGCTTGTCCTGGAGCCTTTGGCAGAAAGTGCCTGGAGAGACTCGAGGCTGACCATTGGAATTCTGGAGCCGAAACTACAGAGGGTCCGAAGCCAACTACACTCCCACAAAGAAGGAAATCTTAGCAGCCTATGAAGGAGTTCAAGCTGCCTCAGAAGTGACTGGCATGGAACCACAACTCCTCCTGGCACCCCAACTACCAGTGCTGGGGTGGATGTTCAAAGGAAAGGTTCCTGCTACCCACCATGCCACCGACGCTACATGGAGCAAGTGGATCGCCCTCATCACGCAGCGCGCCTGTACTGGAAACCCAAATCACCCTGGGATTTTAGAATAATTACAAACTGGCTGGAAGGTGAAAACTTTGGTCTCACTGATGAAGTGCGTCACTGTTGGACATGATGTAGAAGTGTGGGTTCACAGCACGCACCAGAATGAGTTACTAGGAAAAGGGGCCTTTATTCTCTCAACTTTTCAGCTTTTATAGGGTCTTACACTACAGGGTTAACATGATTGGTCAAGGGAACGCCACCTCTTGTTCCATTGGTGGGACAAGAGAAAAATACGCTATCTACAGTTATGTAGAACTGTTTTGAGAAAGAAAGATGGTTTACAAATGTTATCCTTGAGTGCGAGATCTCCCAAGAAACTTTCCCTTGGGAACAGATCAGCTGCTGACAGCCTGCAATTCTCTCAGGCTCAGAGAAAATCAGGTCCACAGAAGTGGAGCAGGAACAAGTGACACAGGCTGAAGAAGCTCCACCATACAACCAACTGCCAGCAGAAAAAACACATTGTGCTCTTTTCACTGATGACTCCTGTCGCATCATAAGGATGAGGTGAAAGTGGAAAGCAGCCATATGGAGCCCCACACGACAGGTCACAGAAGCTACTGAAGGAGAAGACGGATCAAGTCAACTTGCTGAACTCAAAGCCATTCAACAGGCCCTGGACATTGCTGCGAGAGAGAAGTGGTTGGAGCTCTACCTCTACACTGATTTATGGTAGCCAATGCTCTATGGAGATGGCTGGAAGAATGGAAAAGGGCCAGTTGTCAGCATAGGAGAAAACCAATCTGGGCTGCTGATGAGTGGAAAGACATTGCCACTCAGGCAGAGAAGCTACCTGTGAAAGTCTGTCATGCAGATGCCCATGTCCCCAAGAGTCAGGCTAATGAGGAGAACCGAAACAGTGAACAGGTGGATCAGGCTGCAAAGATAGAGGTGTCAAAGACAGACTTAGATTGGCAACACAAGGGAGAGTTGTTCCTAGCTCGATGGGCCCATGACACCTCAGGTGATCAGATGATCAGAGTAGAGATGCCACCTATAAGTTGGCACAAGACCGAGGGGTGGATCTAACCATGGACAGTATTTCTCAGATTATCCATGGTATGCTTGCAGGGAAAATCAAATTGCATTAGTCTGGAAGGGGCATGGAGCTCAAGGTCATTTTTTTTTCCCACCAGCATTTTGGAGACTTTACTGTCCTCCCAGGACTGCAATTGCCCACAATGGTTATGACTGACTTGCTCTGATTGAGAGTGAAACCTCTACAGGGAGATCTATCCATCAAAGCAGCCACACTTGCATGTTATTTAAAGGGTGCTGTTATTTAAAGGGTGGAAACTGTCCTGTTCTGTCAGGTCACAACTGAACATGAGACAGGGGCTCACAAACTCTTCATTGGGTTTATTACCCTCTGTTTCAGGAGAGAACATGGTGGTAGAGATTGGAAAGTGCCTCATGTGCTCCAGTAGACCAGACAGCACCATTAGAGAGCATAACTACTTGCTCTCCAACAGGTCTTTATGAATGATGGAGCAGGGTGTGTTAAAAGCATGTTAACTTGCTGAGATTCCTCTCAAGTGCCTGTTAGAGCTAGACTTTTACCAGCTGGCCTGTTTTAAAGGGAATCAAATTACATGCCAAATTATGTTTAAAATCATAGGCATACCAATGCATTTAGTAGTAGGGCTTGTTTTCTTCACTCTTACCTATTGGAACAGGCAAACCAGTTTTAGCTCAAATTGCAGGGTGATTGTGCCAAAACTTAATTTGGGACCCCATAGAGGACAGGCTTCTCCTTCACTGCAAAGAGAAAAGAGAGGCAAGAAGTGAGGGAAACAAAAAGTGAGCTCACAGCAATGTCTGATGCCTTGGGTTGGGGCTTTACCTCCTGCCTGCCAGTGACACAGCAAATCCTTCAGCTCAGGTAAGTCATGGATGTGTAAACAAACAAAACAGATACACCTGAAAATGTCTGAAATCTTGAAGTTCTGGGATAAAGAAGCCGGAAATGTTTTTCATTACATATGTCACCGAGGTTGGTTCTTTGCTTGTTTTAATTTAGAATCATCTTTTCTTAACTATTGCTGTCCTGAACAATGCACAGCCACAAAAACAACACTGCTGCCCATCATCTCTGCCTCTTGGCCTGGAATATGAACAGCTTTTGTTGAACCAGGGCTGGGCACACCAGCTGCTCAAACAAAAAACTCTTTGGAAAACAGGAAGTTTCAAAAATTAAGTCCTAATTGTTGCTGGGGGGAAAATATCTATTAACATGAGAAGCAAACTTTTTCACACAATGAATGTCACAAATATGAAAGACTTGCAGATGAAAGTTAAAACATGTTAGGTTTTGACCAAAAATATTCTAGTATGATGTTTTCTAAAAAATATTACTTTAGCTGAGAGCTTGATTTTTCAATCAAAAAATTAACAGTGAAGCAGACAGGCATAGAAAAATCAAATTACACTCCAAATATTCTCCTTTTGTGTCAAGACAATTGGAGGTAGAGTAAAATGGCCTGGAAGATCAGCAGCAATAGGTTAATATTTAACACAGGGAGGGTGTTGAAGAGCTGCCACAGAAGAGAAACACCTCCCTCCCCAGCCTGAACACACCAGTCCTTTGGTGGCAGGGCCAGTGCCAGGCAGCAGAATGTTTGGGGAGTTTCAGAGTAATAAAAGTCCACTGGATAGCAAACAAGTTTGGACAATGCAGACCAACTCTATATAGAGTTCTCCTCCTCCTGCATCGATTTTTCCAGCAGAATGACAGCTGCCGCCAGGATGTTGTGGGAGAGCTGAGTTTGGGAGCACAGCATCACAGGGGCAGGCTCTGAGTGCTTAAAAAAACTGCACGGGCAGCACAAAACACTCACACAGGGAAACGTGCGGTCCTGCCGAGGCATTCCCACTCAGGCAGCGAGCTCCGGCTTGCTGGAGAGCGAGGGAAAGGAAGGCGATCTTCCTTTCCGAGATGCATCAGGTCTGCTCCCTCCTCAGCTCCAGGACTGAACGCCGGGCTCCCTCTGCTGAGTCTGCCACGCAACTGATGTCTGCACGATCCATCATGCTGAGGGGTTCCAAAACCTTCATCTTACCCTCTAAGCAGGCAGCAGCCACAGGAAGACCTCTCACCCTGCCACTTCATCAGGGGAGAAAGAGCTGGTGGTGTAGAACAGGACAAGGCCAACGCTGCGGGAAATTCTCCTCAGATAAACGTGTACATGTGTATGCATATACTGTGCTGTGAACACTTTCACATCTCCAAATTCTTGTTAAAGATTACTGATGCAGTTCCACTGAAGGATGAGGCTCAGTCAGCCTCTCTGTCCAGGCTGTGGAACTGCCAGCAGCTGTTCAAACACCCTCTGGTCACCTGTTGAGATGCCATTACCAGCACAGGGATTCAATGACTCCCTCAGTTTCAAAGCAGATTTCTGAGGTTTCTGTATCTGAAGCAGAGCAAGTGTTGTCCCAGATAGAAACTGAAACACAGCAAGAAATGGAAATTTTATTTTGGGACTCTTCCATGTTATGCCAGAAAAATATTAAAAAGAAGTAAGAATGAGCTGCTGTAGATGCTGAGCTCTTCTCTTTCTCATTGTTATATAATTCCTCACTTGGCTACACCTCATAAATGTACTCTCCTGGTCTCAGAGTCTTATTTCTACATATCCTCCATTTCCATCCCTCTCATGTTATGGCTTTTCAAAGCACGGTTCTTTCCCATCACTAAAAGAAGTGCATTCCACTTACCAAAATATAATCTTATCTTCCCGAAGCCCATAGAAAAACCTGAAGTTACACCACCCCTTCCTTGTTTCCTCCTTTAACCATGCCCAGGCCTTCTGATTTCCATTTCGACCAAGCAATCTTACTAATCTCTGTTAGGAAAATCTCATGCCTAGGCTTGCCGGGAAATCCACTTGAGGTGTTAAGCCCCATATTAGATGCTTTCTCTCCTTAGGTCAAGCATTTGGTACCCACAAGTTAAGTGGATTAATCACACTCCTTCTACAGGGACATAGCACAAAGCTGTGTAGCTCCAAAAATACTGCTGGCCTCTGAGGGCATTGCTGCAGGACCCCAAGTTTCTGTGACCTCTTCTCATCCCTGATGTTCAGAAATGTCAGGGTGCATCTTTTATTATTTTGTGAAGGCTATTTAAGCAGATTCATGGTGCTTTTTGACAAGCTTTCTGACGCCTCTGTTCATCAGCTCCAGACCTTCCGAGCTCCAAGCTGCAATAACAGACTGCCTGGAAGTCCCACAGGTTTTCCTCTCAAAATCCATCAGCACAGTCCCATAACAAGAGGGGAAGATTTGGAGCAGTCTTTTTGCCCATTCCCTGCCCAGGCTGAGCAAGTTCCCTCTGTCTCCAGCCCTCCCTCACTCTGTTTCCAAAACATACATTAGTTTAAAATTCCAGGTCTGGAAATTTAACAATAAAGAGTAATGCCCTGCCTCTATATTTTTCCACCACAGTAACAAGATAGCAGAAAATGTCACAGTCCCTGAGATATTTACACTACTGCCATGGCTGCAACATATATCTGTATCTTAAAAAGGAGGGAGCTGAGGCACAGAAGGATTAAAGATGATAGTTAAACCACCTACTGAGGCATCTGCAAGAGACTTATATTTCTGTGATTTGGAAGACTGAAAGAGTGTTTAGACCTCCTGTTTCCAGGCTGCCAGGCTTTGGCTCCCTACAAGGAGTCTTTAAAAAGAAGAGTTGTATTCTGTTTCCTTCTCTGAATAACTCAGCACAAGGCAACACATCTCACTCACCATATAAAAAAATTTTCTTCTACTGAAGTGCAGGAGCTGAGAACTTCTCATTTCTCCTTTTTTAGCCCAGACCCTGGAGCTCATCTTCCAGCAGCCACAGCTGTGCATGATTCACTGCAGATAACAGGAGAGCACTGGCAGGAGCAAATTCAAAATCCCATCTGCCTCTCAGTCCATCACTACCACTGAAATTTCATTAGCTCACCACTTCAGAAACAGGGCTTGCACAGCTGAATCATGTCCTTCACCCTGCTGCAGGCAGCCACTTCCAGCCCAGAGCAGGGCAACTTGATTATGCCTGCACCCATTCAATTACTTAGTCTCGCTCTTGAAAGATACTTAACATGGGCTTCGCAGCTTGCTTGTAAAAGGAGCACTGACCCCTAAATACACTTATCAGCTATCTTTCCAAGCTGGCAAAGTGGCTGCAGGTCAGTCCAAGGAGGGTAAGAACACAGACAATGTACTAATGTTGGGTAGCACACTGCAGTGTCTTGGGACCAATCTATTTCAGAAGCTCCAAAGACAAATCATTTTCAAACCCTTCCAATAAGATTATCCATCATTTCCATCTACAGAGACTCATACCTGACAGGCCATGTGTCTCTACCCAGATATCAGGCATATTGCCTAAAAAATATACCATCCAGTACAAGTGGAAAGGTAGGATTTAACCTCACTCTGGTGTAAGCACTAAACCTTTTCTAAGCCAAGTTCACAGTTTAAGGGAGGGCTGAACACTTTGAAAGAGCAAAGTCTGCAGTGTTAAATCTACAGCTGTCTATGGAAAAAAAAAAAAACAAACAAACACCAAATTCACCTAATTTCATGAAAGAACCACTAAGGATATTTCCTTCCTCTCTTCTTCCCTGAAGTGCTCACATGCTAAATGATACACTAGAGAATGTACAGGAAAAAAGATCAGACAGTATTAACAACATGGGAGACATCCGCCTCCATTTTCCTTTCCTAAGAATGTTTAAATTCCTATAACTTCAGTGCTCCAGACCACCAGCTGCACAAACCAACACAGCACCACTGACTTCAGCAAAACCTGGGTTCATTTGCAAACCAAGAGTGTTGCCAGCAGAGGTGTTTCTGAATGGTGCTGGTCTGGAAGAAGAGAAATAGCACCATCATCATGCTGAACTCCATCATAATTTGTAGGGCCTGGAGGAGGAGGTGAGGTGGGACAGGTAATTTATGCCATATGGCGCCAGCACAAGGTTGCGAGCAATGAGATTTGTCCTCTGTTCTCAAAGCCAATGCCAACTACAAAGCTGAGGGACAGGCAAAAGTAAGAGATGCCAAATTTTGCCCTCAGATGTTGATGTTAGCAGGGTTTGTGTATGAGGACAGAAGTCAGGCCCAAATCTTTCTGTTCACAGCATTCAAGGTGTCTCTTGAGCCAGTTGTGACTCACCTGTTGTTCAGCAACAGTAAGACAAATCGTGATTCTTTTTTCTTGTTTATGAAAGCTCAAGTAGAGCTGAACTACATTGAAATAGCCAGGCATACAACAGTGTGAGAGCAGAGACCAGGCCTCTTTTATAAAGGCAACTTCAAAAATCCTTCTAAAAATAGAGAAATGTGGTATGAGAAGCCAGACTCAGAAATGCTACCAGAAAAGAGAAGACAGAATGAAATCCAACAGCTTTGACCAACCCTTTCTTGACATAGCTTTTTCTGAAGCTCTCCATCTGCTGCACTTTTTCACAAAATTGCATGGCAAATTTTTCCCTCCAAGACACCAGAGTATGACCAAAGCTACTTTACTTATTTCAGGGTGGTTAATCCAGGCTTAAACTTAGTACGGAATTTAGCCACACTTAACACATGACCATCTCCCCACCTGTCACCCAGCATAGTACATTTGTTTAATTTGCAACTGCTGTTGTTTTGACATTCCTTCAATAATAATTCTCCTTTCCTGAAGTCTCATTATGGCAGTGTGGGCATCTCTGGCCCTTGGTGCTGTAAGAAATGAGTGCAAATGTGTGAGATAGGGAAGATAAATGAGACAACACAGCCTCTTGAGGAGTTTCCACCTCCTCCAACCAGTCACTGGGAAGGCCTAATAGGCAAATGCAGGGAAAAAATGGGTTCCAGGGAAACCTGGTCGTGGTTGTCACTGTCACTGCACGGATTCAATCACTCTGCATTGACAGTCTTGACTTCATCACCCTCTCAAGGAGAGAAGCAAGGGGACTTAAATGACCAACACAGTTAAGCTGTTACCGCTCTTTGATTTTAAAAAATGAGGCTTCAAACTCAGGTATTCGAGTGGGAGGAGATGTGAAAAGCCCCGTGCCTGGAGGCTCTCCCTCGTCCCTGCGGAGCAGAGGATCCGTGCGGGGATGCGGTGGGACACACGGAGCATCCTCCCGGCGCGCAGAGCCGGGACCGCGGGAGGGCAGCAGCGATTTGCGTTCCGAAACGCGCTCAGGGAGCTTCTTCATGCAGAGAGCTTGGTGAAGACAAACGGCGCGGAACTGCTGCGGGTTCTAGTCTGGGTCAATGTGTGAAAAGTTACAGTGGCGTGCCACTCAGGAAGCGTAAGTGCAGCCCTTGGCAGACTTTTGCTGCATCTCTCTTCTGGTTTATATATCCTTCGGGTCAAATTCCTCATGGTGAAGCCTTCTTGGCCAGGAGGTTGGGACACGGAGCAGACCCCCTTGAACATAGTTTTCCCAAAAGCAAGCCGACTATAGACAGTAAATGACAATAACCACCTGTGGTCACTCTGTTCTCTGTCTCTTTGGAATAATACACTTCTCTCTTGTACAGTTTTATTCATGTGAGGATTTTCTCTGCCACAATTGTAAAAATCCATTGGGAAGATAGAAGAGAGGTGGAAGTCCCTGTGATGTGCATCCTTCTGTCCTTCCCCCATAGAAGCTGAGAGCTGCCAGAGCCTTGCTGGAGCTGCTCATAAGAGCCACAAATGTATGCTGCTTTCCCAGCTTGAGGAGTAAAACCTGAACCCATCCCAAAAAGGATTAATGACCTGGGTGCTCAGCTGATGCTCAGAGAGGACTTTACATCCTGACACAGGTGTCACCATACCAAATACCCCTGCTCAGTGAGGTAACTCTGGGATCACCATCTTCCAAAGCCTCACTGCCCCCGGGGGAGAGCAATGTCCCCACAGCCATCCCCAACCTTCCTGCACCATCCCATTCTCCCCTTGGCACTGGGTGTGCAGCTACTGCTTCACCCAGGGAAGACAAAAGGTCTGAGTCCAGCAGTGCCACTGTTAACACTTCAAAGGGTGACTTCATTTAGGCTGCTCCCAGACAGGATTCAAACTAAGGGCTGGAATGCCTCACAAAAAACCTCAGTTCTCGGCACAGTAGTGGGGAAAGAAATCAACATATCTCTTTAAGTAAGAAAATCTGGTGCCCCCAGTGAGTGATAGATAATGGCTATTCTTATCACAAACACATATAATGGCCTCACAGTCATTTTTAAATGCAAATTCAGAGGTGAGGGGGGAAACAGACAATGTGTAGCAAAGCCTCATGTCCATTCTCAGGGCTTGTCTGTCATTTATTGTATTTTGTATAAAATAAGTTGTCCCCTCCCTGTCCTCCCCCCTACCCCTTTGTTTTTACAATGGTAATGTTAAGCCAGAAAATAAGTTGGTTTTCTAATAGCACATTAGGAAGCCTTGTGGCTGGAGCATCTCTCATATTCTCCCAGAAATACATTTCACAACATTCAATCCACCAACCGAGCATTCTGCAAATGCCAAAAATCACTTGAGTGAGTTTCCAAACTTCATGGGCAGATTTCTGCCACAGGAGTTGCTTGTTCTGCTAGTTGAGATTCACAGTGATGTGGCATTTATAAGTAGCCCATAAAAGGCTGGTGGATGAGCATGATATGCCTATCAGCAGCATTGTCAGGGGTGCCGGGAGAGCATCACTCAGGGGTGCTTTATCAGTTGTCATAAGCAGCCCTTTGCCTCTGGGGTTCTGAAAGGATTGATTCATCAGTTACTAACCCTGGAATAAGGTTTTTTGTAAACAGCTTCAGGATAAAGCCTGACTTTGTTTCCTTTGCATAACTCAACCAGACAACTCCAGAGGAGGAAATTACCTCCCTCATGAAGTCATGGGGAGCCTTTTTAATGGTTTTAATGAGATTGTCATCAGGTTCAAAGTAAACACACCTGTAGTGTGGCAGCGGCCTCAAGGAGACAAAGAGTTACACGGTCCCACCCCAAACGTCTTGTGAAGGGCGGCCCAGGTGCTCTGATTGGGTTTGAGTCCCTGCAGGGTTCTCCCTTGGTGTGTTTCTACTGGTCCCTGACCCTGAACTCCATCCTCAAAGGTGGAAATTCTTAAGAGTTCTGTCCCTCAAAAACCCCTGCTGTGCCTCTATTCGGGGCTCTCTGTTCTGGACCTGAGTTTGTTTCCATGCTGAATAAATGGTTTCATGATCTGGGAGCCCATCTCGGTTGGTGTTCCATGCTGGTCCCCAGAACCCTGCAGCTTCCCTGGATGAGATCCCGAGGTTGCTGACTGCAACATTGCAGCACTTCTTAGGTGTGTTTTCCTTGTAAAGCCACTTCTATTGCATCTTTCGGAGGAACAGGTGGAGCTGGTTTCTCAGCCATCAGCGGCAGCCAGCTGAGGACAGCTGGAGCACATGGAATTCCCAAGCCCAATGCCAGATTTGCTAAACAGACTCCATCACTGCATAGGCAAGTGTCTTTGTGTTCAAAAAGGGAGCGTGAGAAAGGAAGGTACGTGAGATGAGAATGTTATGGGGATCCCTCGCTCTCCTTTGCCAAAGGTGAGACAAGACAAGGATTTTCTAAAAAATACCTGAAAAGAGCCAATGTGTTAAATGTGAACCTGTGAAATGTTTATGGGAATTTTTATATGCAGAATCTTGGTGATTATTCAAAAGGATAAATTTGCAGAATTTCAAGGAAGTTTTCTTAATTTCCACCTTGGTGATAAGGGCTCAATTCACAGTTCTACTATTTCAGTTCCTTTTCTTCTGTTTCCCCAAGCAGAAAACAGTGCTCATCATAATTAGCCAAGCTTTTGGCAAACTATTTTACCATTGTTCTTGTCAACATAGCAAGCCTCTCATTCTATTTTCAGGAGAGACTTCAGCACCAAAGAGACTCATTACCTCTACTGCTAGGAAGGCTTAGTCTCTTCAATGCTTAGTTCATTTTTTGGCTCACAGGGAAAAATTTTATGTAAAAGTCTTAACCGGGTGAAACAGGCTGAGGACTAAGGGCTCCTGTCTGACAGGATGTGGCAGGATGCCTTTATGGCTGCAGCAGGTCTGTGTGGTGCAAGGAACAGCTTTGGGGTAAGATTATGTTTAAATACCTGTCCTTTTGAGGCTTTTGCACACGGCACTGAGCTAGGCTGACCCCTGAGCTGCTGTGCCAAGCTGGAGCACACACTCAGCACCTGACATGACCTTAACCCAACCAAGGGCATGGGACACAGCAGCTAAAAACTAACTCCTCTCACCCTCAACACCTCTGGGAAACCAGATCTGCTGTTGGGAACTGTATTATCTTTTATGGTGCGGATGTAGAGCCAGTTCCCATCTCTGTAGCCCCTCAGGTGAGGCTGCTATAAAGTGTCGGCACTGTGGGGAAATAATCCTGCTTATTGATAAACATGTTAAACTTCTAGTGAGGATAGCTCTTCCAAGGAGAGCCAGGAAAGCCTGCAGGAATCCAGGCTTCTTCTCTGAAGGTAGGCAGATGAGAGCAACTCATAAATTTGGGGTTCAGTGGGGGTTGTTTTGCTTTGGTTTAAGGCAAGCTCACATCCCCAGTTCTGTTCGATACAAGGCCCCCAAACTACACTGACCACATCTGAGCTGTTCTGGATTCTCTGGCCCTATCAGGAAAGTAAAAGAGATTTTGTTCTGCTGAGCAGGAGGTAGCCACCCCAACAATCAAATCAGTCATGTTCAGTGACAAGAGTGCGTACAGACTGAATAAGTTGTGACTCTGTTTTCCTTAGCACTGGATTATCCATGTTTCCTGTGCTTGCCATAGCTCCTTCTGATGCCATATCTCCCTCCCTGTTTAGTATTCCCTGACCAGCATTGCCAGCAATCCTTTCTGTCCTCAGCCTCTTGACCTGACTTTGATATCACCACATGATTGGAAACTCTCTCTGAGTAAGAGGCAAGGGATCAATGTTTCCAGGGAATGAGTTTCTCTTTAAAGCTGTTACAGATCTTTCTGTGGCTTCTCTTGACATCAGTTCTGCTCTCTTTCAAACATATGCATTAATTCAAGAAAGCAGAGGCTGTGGCAGCCTCAGCTACAGAGATCTGACTCATCCCAGCTGCTATCTGTGCATGTAGGTCACGTGGAATGACATCCATTAGGATGCACAGTACAGTATATTCACTCCAAGGACCAGTGACTCCTGCTTTGCATGCAGTGCTTGGGGAGGAAGCAAAGTAAGAGTTCATAACAAGCTTTAAATGAACAGAAACCTAGACATCCCCCTACTTTCCCAAACACCAAGGAGTGTGAGTCATATTTCATTCTGGCAAGTTACTACTTTCCACACCAAGCTCATACAAGGTGTTCCCAGAGCTTGTTATCTCAGAATTTCACTTTATTTTCATGTGTCTGTGCTGAGACCCCAGAGGGACAAGGTTAGACCTTAGAGGGGTCTGAGCACAGCTAAGAAAAGATATGGTATGCCCTCAGCTGTAGGACATTTCTCACTACTCTCTGAACCACTGTTGGGATTTAAACAGATGAAAACAACAAACAGAACAAAACAAAGAGCGCTGCTCTTGGTGGGCTACTCTTCAGTGGCACAATTCACACTGAGGGATCATTGTCCGTGTCTGAGACAAAACCAGGCTGAAATGCAGCATTCTTAGAGAACCTGGAATCATTCATGCACTGGTCCAAGTTCTCAAGGCCCTGAGACAAATTCAGCCCCAGGACTACCAGTGGAGATGGTTTAACCAGTAACAGGCTGGGATTTGTCATGGGGCTTCAGTGGACAGCAGCTTCACTTCAACCCAGTGCAAATTCTCCTGTTCAGACTTTGGCCCAGAGACATTAAACAGTGGGTCCAGAACCACAACTCTGAGGCACCAACAGAGGCAGGAATTTAAGATAGACTTTTCTTGGTGCAACCCCAGAGCTACCTCCAGCCCCCCAGGCTGGTGACCTTTGTGTACTGAGCCGAGAGCCTGATCCCCCTGGCAAAATGGAAAACTCAGGATGACAGGATATCCTGAATTGGAAGGGAACCATTAGGAATATCAAGGCCAGATCAGAGTCTATCCCCATGCAAAAATGATCATGATTTCCCTTTGCATGCCCCTGCAAGCACAGACTCCATGCGGAGTTGCACCCCAAGGAGTAACTCAGCCATAATGACCCCAACACAGGGAAGGCACAACACTCCATACATTTCAATTTGCACCTATTATCTCTCATCCCTTCATAGGATCTATTTCTCTGCTCCCCCTCCCCACAGCAAACTTTCTGGTGGTGAACCCTTTTGTCACTTGTCAAGTGTCAAAGTGTCAGTTGGGGTACTTGCCATCTCTGTCTGGGTTTGTCTCTGGATTCACTGGCAGAAATAAATGCTTCCTTAGTACCAGGAATGTAACAGGTTAAAAAAAAAAATTTTTAAAAGTCAGAGATTTATTCCAGGTTTGGCCAAAAAACCCCCACACAATAAAATCAGATTGATGCTGAATGAAAATAACTTTGCTCTGCAAAAGCAATTCCAAAATAATCAACAGCAACTGTGGCTCTGGCAACAACTGACATCAGATTTGGAATAACAGGGGTAGTTCGGGAAAAACTTGAGAAAGTTGCTTAGGTCTTGTCAGAGAAACAAGTCTCCAAGTATTAATGACTGATATCTCAGGCTCTCTGGATGTACTGAAGGAGGTGTACATCTTCACCGTCTTCCACTTTATCAATACCAAAATTATGTGTTTGGATTTTATAAAGGCTTGACCAATCCAGCAGCCACTGGAGAAGATAATGTAAGCAAATCTCATTAAAAACTATCATACCTAAATACATCAAGGTGTCATCTTCTGTCTATGGAGCGAGAAGGGGAAAGTGAATCCCAAAACAACTATCAGGGTTTTATGCTTTCTTTCAAAATGTGGTGCACTTACAACTGCCAAAGGTTCCACCCCTGAACTAGAGGAACTGAGGTGTGAGTCAGCTAAGCAGTTTCCATCACCCTGGGTAACACTTCCTCAACACAGATGTCAGGCAACTTTCCTTCACCCTCCTGCACTGTCAGGAAAACAAAGCTGGAAAGCAAAAATATAGATTATCTTCCTCTAACACTGACAAGCACAGGGAGGAAAACAGTTTAAAAAAAAAACCAAAAACCAACCAGCTTGCTGGGAAAAAACACAGCAAACTTTGAAAAACAAAACACTGTGTGAAATATACAAAACACTGTGTGAAATATCTGGCAATGAAGCTAGTGTACAGCCAAGCTGCCATCACTATTGCAATTCTTTAACAGGGCAAAGGCCTATTGTAGGTGTATTTAGAAAGTCACACTCCCAGCCCAAACTTCATAAAGTTATTGGTTTGTTTTTAAAAATACCTTTCACTCAACCTCAGTACAATCCTTCCTCCAGTTTTCCCAACCTCCAATACACTGATCTCAGATGATTTTCTGAAAGCAACATGTTTTATTAATTTAGAGATTAGAGTTCTATTTAAGATTTTCCTAACTTTTGTTCAATCTCTCCTCAATTTCATGAGAAATTCTGCATCGACACCATCCTTTGGCAAGTAACCCCAGGAGACTGCACCCACAATTTGAGGAACTCCCTGCTACACCCCTTCTTCATGTTCTGAATCAGGTTCCTTCATCTGATGCTCCCCTCCAAGTTCTTCCACTAGAAGATGAACAGACAATTCCTGTTGACACTCTCTATTGTCATTCAGTCAAAGAAGACCTGCCCACACCTTACCTATTTCTAGCCTAGTCTAGACATATTCTATGTTTCTGACCTGATTTCCAGGATGCCCACTCCACTGTTAGTAATGTAACTTAGTAGTGTAAAATATAGGAAACTGAACAATACCACGGGAATTAGTGGGGGAAAAAACACATTGATTAGTTCTTCCTTGACATATTTTTTCAATAAAAACTGTACTTTTTCTCCACTAAAGACATCTAGTAAAAAAAATTAAATATAAAAACATACTTGGAATTCTCCAATGAAAAATGAGGGAAAACAGGAAAATATCCAGCCTTTGTTGGTTCAGTTTACTAATGCATTTCAAGTCAGAAATCCCAAAACAATAGAAATCCATACTCCAAACAAATTTTTTCCTTAGTTCACAGGCAGAAAGTTTGTCAGGACTGAAATGATCTCTTCTTTCCTTAAACTTGCAGTGTAATACAATTTATAGAGCTGTTGTAATTCTGCAGGAAAAATGTTTGTGAGAGACGATTGATGGGTTGTTATTATTCCAACTTGCTTAATAAAGTGTATGTGACATAGCACATTAGGTAATTGTGTTGGTGCCATTTCACATAAAATAAAAAAGGTTTTTCCCTCGAATTTTGAACTGGGGGCTAAGCAGGGAAACGGACCAGGCTGTCTGAGTTTCAGTATCCACATGGGAATTAAAAAAAAAAAAAAAAAAAAAGAAAAAGAAAAGCACAAATTCCCGGAGGAAACTAGTTAAATATTCTCTCCACCTCCCTCCTCTTATTCATTCGCTCCTTTCAATCGGCGGGGTCCCATGGAGACCATCGTGGGAGAAAAGCATCCTCTCCAGCCGCCGCGCTCGCCATGGCAACCGGCACGTCAGCGCCGGCAGCCGGGCCCTGCCGCGGGCCGGGGGCGGCCCCGCCTCGGGGGCCTCCCGGTGTTCCCCCGGTGTTCCCCCGGTGTCCCTCGGTGTCCGTTCGGTGTCCCCCGGTGCCGCCGCCCCGCCGCGCCCGGCGCTGTCCGTGGTGCTGATGGCCCCGACGGAGCGGGAGGAGCCCCGGGACCTGCCGGGGGGCGGCCGCAGCATCCGCATCCCACATGACACAGAAAGGAGTTGGGCAGCGGCCACCCCTGCGAAACGTCATTTTTTCCTCCGCTGAAGAAGGATGGAATACCCCGTCCCTCCCCTCAGGAGGCTTTGCAAACAGGCAGGCAGAGGCAGCTGCAGAGCTGGCGGTACGCTGTGGTTCCCAGTATGACCGGGATCTTCCCAGACGTGGCTTCACTTGGGATAAGCAGCAGAGCAAGGAGGGGACCAGCGCCTTTGGGATTTTGCTTTGGAGCAGGTACGTGGGTGCATATGGGCTATGCTGAGCACTGCTGTAGCTAAAGGTGTAATTCTCACTGCAGAGACAAATTACATGATCTTGTCCAGTCATTTATCTTAAGTGTATTTATTTATGTGCATTTAAATCACTTGGGGATTAGCCAGGAGGACTCATTCATCAGGAACAAATGTTCTGTGGGGCTTGAATTTTAAGCTTATTCTGCTAAAAGCAGGGGGGTGTGTAGAATTACTGCAGAATAACTCCCTATATTTTCTGGACAAATCGACATGCTCTCTACTCATTATCTTTCAATTATGTTACTTATTTGTTTGAAACAATCTCCTGACATCATCAGTTCAGTGAAAACAGAAAATTACTTTACAGCAATGGAGCAGACTGCTCTGCTCATCCATTTTTTTCTGTCTCTAAATACATTCAAACAGCTTCTTCCTTCCTCATGTTATTGCTATAGAACAGCTGCTTTTGTATTTTTCAGTCATTAATTTGAAATCATCCTTTCTGAAAGTGCTGTCTCCCCTTTTCTGTGTGGGTGCCTTGGTGCAGCTACTCAGGGAAACCCCACAGACAGAGTAATCTTTGCTTATCCATAGCCAGCACAGGCAAGAGGGCTGCTCTGGTTTAGCTAATTCAGGCACAGACTCTCTAAGAATGCATAGCAATATTTCTCATTTATCCAGCTGGCTTCCAGCATGTCAAACAGTATGTTGGCTTCACAGAGTAATGGGGAAGTAAAGCTGCCTTCTGCTTTCAAAAGGCCATTTGTGTGTATGAGGCAGGATTCATAGCCAATTCTTTCTGGCAAAGGTTCTCAGATGTGGTTCTTGAAGGTTTGTTGTTAAAGTCACTCTAACCACTTAAACAAGTGGCTTGGTTTGCAGAAAAATTGGTTGCCAACCCAGAGGCATCCTTAAAAGCTTATTTGGGTGTCTAAATATGGATTTTTTAAAAACTTGATTTATGAGTAAGCTTGATTTCTGATTTATTTGAAGCATTCTCAGATGAGTCAGTAAGGGGAGGAATCTCTACACCTTAGACACATTCGGGAAACTGTGCTCCTTGTCTCAAAGTAAGAGCTTGCAGACTCTCACTCCCCGGCAGCTCTCCTGTGAGGCATCTGTTTGTGGAGCTGTGCAGTGCAATTCCCACACCTGGGTCACACCATATGACCCCCATCTGCATTTTCCTTTGCAGCCCCACCAGGAACCCTCTCTCAGGTGTTTAACAGATAGCAATCCCAGTCAGATAATGCAGAACAAACCCCTAACATCCTCAGGTGGACTCAGCTCACCCTCCCCACCAGCTCTCCCAGCACCAAAACATGGCGCAGCCCTTGTGTGTTTGGTGTTTCTGCATTCCAGCAGCTTTCATCTTTCCCTAAATTTTCCCTCTGGCACGCAGCAAACACAGGTCTTGCAACTGGCACCCTGTCCACAAAGACATCTCCAGATCAGGGGCTATCAGCAGGCTAATACCTTCCCTCAGGTATTCAGCCTAGGCTTCTCCTAGGCTGCTTTTATTACCCTCCAAGCCTCACCCAGCAGAGAGACTGCCTTCCCACAATCTTCTCTATATCAGGCATTTCCAACCCAATTTGGGTTGTGCATGGCCTTCATCCCTTCCAGCTTCTCCAGCCAAGTATAGGTATAGGAAGACTGAAATGCTCTCACTAATGGCCATATCCTATGTCAGAGTGTGAATGTCGTTCTACTGCCCGTGCCGGTCTGCTCCTCTTATTCCTACCAGATGAGTCCTCCTGGAAGCATCTCAGGCATCTCTGGTTGTAAGCCATCACTGCTGTCATTGTGTCTGGCACAGGGACCTGTGCCCTGTGAGCACCAGTTCCATGTTGCCAAGAAGGGTCAAGAACCACATGACAGGAACTCACATCCCAGCACAAGCGTTTGCACCAGTACAAGAATCCTGTTGCCACATTATTATCTTGTGTGACAAGAAAGCAGTTTTTACAGGATTTCCTGTCAAGAATTCCTTTCTACATAGCCTTTTCACACAAAACCAACAGTAAAAAAAAAAAATTCCTCAGGTTCTCTGAGGGGGAGAACTTGTGCTCCCTGCTGGTGAGAGGGTGAGCTAAGCTGCCAAAGTCCTTGCTGTAGCTGCTGGTGCATTTTCCCTGTCAGGGAAAGGGTGAGAATTTCCAAGAGATGGGCAGACAAACTAGCCAGGCGTCAGATTCACCACCACTTATCTGTCAACACCCACCATGGCAAAGCAGCCCTGGTAAGCACCATGTTCCTCACAAAAATGTGCCATGCTGTGCTGTGCTGTGCTGTGCTGTGCTGTGGGCAGGGCCTGGTGTTGCCAAAAATTAATGCAAGCCCGTGGGAGAGAGCATCTATATTTTTACCTCGGAATCAGGAAAGTGTACAGCCTAGCCATGCCCAACGACAGAATCAATCCCCTTTAGGTAGGACAAAAAGCCTCCAAAGCTGTATTTCAAGCATCTCTACACTCTTCTTGGGCAATTCCAGTAGGTGGAAGCTATTTTGACAGCAGAGTTGGAATTTAGGTCAGCCCTTCTGCTTGCTCCCACTTTTTCATGCTCCCACAGTCACACTGAGAGCAGATCTGGGTTCTGCCACCATTCTTAGATAATAATTTTTAGATATTTAGGGCTAATCTGGAGTTTTGCATACTAATCCCAGCAGCAGGAGGATAAAATAAAGCCCCGAAACACTTAAACCTGTCCTTTGGGCTGTCCTTTGAGGGTAAGAGTTACACCTCTAAAAAGAGATTTGCAGCCAATGTGTACCTGTTGGTAAACAGTGAGGTTCCCTCTGAGGACATGAGGGTGTCTATCTGGGTACCACTGAGCACAAATCTAGTTCATATTTTACCACTGCCTGTACCTGGACCAGAGCTGATGTTGGGTGTAAGTGGAATCTGCAGTTACAGTAAGGGCTCCTTCTCAGAGCCAAGAGAATATAAACATCTCAAGGTTTAGGTGCATGAATAATTACTGGGTTTTAGCAACTTACCCCAGGTTAATAGACCTATGGTGTCTACCTCTAGGTCAGTCTTAACCCCCAGTAAATATATGAGAAAAATTCATTGCCTCAAGATGCAGGGAAAAGCCATTGCTACCAGAACATTTAAAACCACAATGAGCTTCAGGAGATGGCAACATCTATTGAGGACACTCAGTCAAAATGCAGTGACTTGTGACTTGTGTACGAGTTTGAATCCTGCTTGATTAAAATCATACCTTGTGGAATTGCCCTTAACCCAGTGCTCCAGGTCCCAGTAGTTACTTCAAGTGTGAGCTGACAGACCCAGAAGGAATAGATGGACCCTGTTCTTGTTCCAGTTAGCTACTGCATGTCTCACTCCTTACTAAACTCAGAAGGATGAAGCTGAAAAAGGATTCTTCCCCAAGCCAGTACAAGAATAAAAATTTATTCCAATCCCAGCAGCTGTTGCAGTATTATATCCTTGTCCTCAGTTTCAACCTTGTTTAAAAAGTCAGCAAAGAACTTGAAGAGTCAAAGAAGCCAAATGGCTAAGAGTCTGCCTGGGTGCCCTGAATTTCCTCCAGCATACAGAAGATATTATTTAGATGTGCTGAAAATCAGAACATTTCCTCCTCTTATTTAGTTCCATCCATATTTTCTGCTCCCATGATCTCACCCCTCAGTACAGGCTAGGCCCTCAGATCCTGATGTAACATGCAAAAATACAGATCAGCTCAGCTCAATCAGTTCAGCTCAGAACATCAGCTGAGCCGTTTCCACAGCAGCACTGAGAGCTCCATCCATAAGCCAATCCATGTTTACAGCTATGTCATCCTTGGTTCTCTGTGCTGCAGGACAGGGATCTCCACCAGCTGGGTGAAGTTAGAGAGCAGGTAGCAGCATGTGAGATGGGGGCACAGATTTCAAAGGCTTCACTGCACCCAAAACATGTTATTCTCATGATAAAATAGGGGCAAATGTTTCCTATCCCCACACACTGTAATGCAGAGAGTGAGGAGGAGCACACTTCACCTCAAGAGATTTTCAGGCTTTGCTCAGAAGAGCTGCCCAGAGAATAAAAATGCCTTTGTAAGAGGAGCAAGGCAAGGAGCTGAGCATTTTTATGAGCACCAGAGCAGAGAAAAGGACTGGCAGGGAAACTTTGTGCTTACAGAAACATGTGAATCCACATTCCTCCACTGGAAGCAGGAGGATTAAATGGCCTCAATATGCACAACAGTCATCTCTGCACAGCAAGGGACAGAGAGAGGCTAAAACACTGTGCTCTGCTACAAAGGGATTTCTACATTAACACAATGCACATGCAGGGCAGTTCATTTTAATTTAGGCAGGGTGATGTCACCTTCTAGCATCTCACAGCCAGATGAAAGCTCCCCCACCCTGTCCCCCACTCTGATTTAATTTACTCACACTCCTAACATTGATTACACTCAGTTAGATGAAGCGTTTCTCTTCCAGTCTGGCAGCTTTTCCAGAGATACTCTCCAGAGGGGGAATTTTGAAATAATTTGCTGGGCCAGTGCTCACCTAGTGTTTTGCAGCTATGATGCAGAGAGGTAAAATATGTTGAATAATAAAGCCTCTGCTAGTGCTTAGGTCAAGTAATGTACAATGATCTGCTTATTTAGCTGCATTTCTAATCTTGAAAAACACTAGTTGGGAAACAAAATGCTTTTTCTTTTGATAAAACATTTAGAACATCCTATTTACTGCATTCTTTTGTGAATCTTATTAGGCATTGCTCTTCCAAATTGCAACGAGTGCTGGATTTTTAGACAGGACAGTGAACAGTGACTATGCCATATGGATTTTGTGCAACAGCCAAGTATATGTGACAGTGATTTCATGCAGTTCTTGTCACTCAAATAATTAATCTCTAAGTAACAGATCTGTTTTGGAGAGCTATCAGCTCAAAATGGAGCTCTTTGGTTTCCAAACTGCAAATTAAGGTCAGTAAAATTGATCTGTGGCACCAGGAAATCCCTTTTCAATGATTATGAGTCATCTCACATGCTCTTTCTTTTGCAAAGCTAATGCACAAAAAAGTAAGTTTTTAAACAGAAATATAGAAAGGCCTCATACCAGTTTTAAAAGGATTCCCACTCTAAAATGCTTGACAGACAAAGTGAGATTTTTGGCACTGCTGAATCCATGCAGACTCGTAATTACTGGAAAGCAGCCATTCAGGTCAGTATTATATTGGTTTAAAGGGAGAATTAATACAAGCATTTTTATTAAGTAAAAATGTAATTAGGCTTCACCTACTTCCTATATGTAGGTTTTACTTGTTGTGCTTATACACTTTTGCTTATGGACCTTCAGAGCAGAGGGAGTTGACAGAACTCATCACTGGTTTTTATGGATCTGATATTTGCAAGTTGAATGGTTCACTAACACCTAAATCATACTGCAGCAAACAATGCAGCAAGCATAGACATGGGAATTGGGGATAAATAATGTTGCAATTCACAGTATCTCCAGTTATTTCCATCTCAGACCCATAAGGAGTTGTGCCTATGCTGAGCTTTTTATGGTCATGTTTCCTTTTGGAGCATTACTCATAATGCAGAAGTTCAAGTCTCCACTATAAAAAACAGATTTCATAAAACCAGAATTTCTCATTGAAGAAAAACATATGCTGGACCACAGACACTCAGGTTCTCAGTACTAATTCAGGGCATGATCCTGATCTCAGTGCTGCATAAGGAAAATAGGCTTGAATAGGGATAATTTTTGAAAAAAAATAAATTAGTTTCTGGTCCATTTGAAGAAAAAATTATCTATAACTAGTAATGTAGGAATCTCAGAGTACAGTGGTTAATCAGATGGCATTTTACTTTTTTGAAAAATGAAGCAAGTAATTGCTGCACAACCAGTTAAATCCTGGGCTCAAGTTAGTTAAACTCCTCATAATTGCACCTATATTTTCACCTCTGCCTTGTAAGCAGTGTGCTAAATGACCTCATTTTGGAGTTTTCCAAAGAAGAATCAAAAAATTCAGCACTAGTTGTCCCTCTGTTCGGTGCCTCTCCTGTGCCACTGACAGCAAGGAAACCAGCACTGCATGAGAACCATCTGTGCTGAACATGGGTGGCTCTTCCCACCCTCCTGTTTCTTCCTCTGTCAACAAAGCTCCAACACAAGGCAGCTGGATTCATCTCCTGGAATTCTCCTTCCTTTGGACACCCTCTGATTGCTCTCCATTGCGATCACACGCTGTTCTCTGCCCAGGGTTGCTCCATTCCTGTCTTCACCAAGGCAGGTTTGCAGGTAACCCTAGCTCTCGTGAACAGCGGTTGGGCTCACTCTTAGGCAAGATGCATCAGTAAAAAAGCCAAAAAGTACTATCTGGGCACTACAACCCTGTAACTATTTTGGGGTTTACCCACCTGCAAAACTATATGTGTCAGGTCTGAGCAGACAGAGGCAGCAGATTTGGTTCACAAGTAAAAATAGAATGAGAACAGTGTTAGCAAGTCTGCCTGCCCTAACAGCTTAGAAAGGCCATTTCATTTTTGTACCAGATTTCCACTGCTCTTCAATACTGGTCAAGACATTTTATCTGATTATTCTTCTATAAAGCTTAATTTGTACAGCTGGCTATTTTTAAATGGCACATACTTCTGCATGGGAAGAAGGGAAATTAAGGAAGAAAATTATCCCATAATGTTCCTTTCTATTTAGTTAATAGGCTCCACGTGTATTATTTTATTACAGCTAATTCTAACAGGTAATTTAGCAGGTTGCACTGACAATGCATCCTGCTACTCTGCCAAACACAGCAGCGCAAATGCCCTGCCAACAGCTGGTGACAGTAGAATTTCTTCCTTCATCCAGAGGAGGGTGGGAAAAGACAAACAGGAGCCCTCTGAGAAATCAGAAATCATCTGCCAGGCAAAGCCACTAAGAAAACAATGAGGGAGAAGGCAACCAAGGATGAGGGGGAAGGCAAAGCCAGGCTGGGCAGTACCCACAGCCCTCCCGCAGAGGAGGGGACAAGGGGCAATGTACAACATGCTGACAGCTCCCCTTCACATCACACAAACGGTGTCACACCGAGTACAGGCTCTAAAAACCTAGAGGAAAAAATCTTCTATAATCCCAACATGCAATTAACATCTTTTCTTCTTCCACCTCTGACAATTTTTTGCACTGCATTATTGAAGGGGACATAGGAAACAGCACAAGGGGTGAGACCCCAAATTCATCCAGTGGCTCTATGCTTTCAGGCTTTGTTCTGAGTAGGCAGACAAGGAGAAGCAAATAGGTGGTAGATGCAGAGCCAGACTAAAAGATGCAAAAACATTGAAAAAAGCCCATCTGGAAGCAAACCTGGGAAATTGGATCACTTACTTGGAAAGCTGAGGAGGATGGTGGTGGCTTTTTGAGCTTGTTTATTTGGCTTCTAGGATAAACTTTTTGATCTTCTGCTTGTGACTGAATCCTGATTTATCTTGCACATTATCAAGCCCTGGAGTTCAGCATTCTCACAGCAGACCAATAGAAAAGACTTTGTCTTTTGACAAAGTAAAAGTCTAGTGAGTCTAGTGAGTAAAAGGCTTTGCATGTCATGATGCACACGTATAGCCACTAAAATCAGCTAATTTTCCATTTTATCCCTGCGACAGGTTAAGTCCAACCCAACCATCTGGCTAAACTCAACACTGGGAACTATCTAGCAATACAAGCATAGAACACGAGGCCACACCCATCACACTCTGGTGTGTCTGCAAGGAGGGTGCAAGAGAACAATTTCACAGGTAACTCCCTCAGACAAACTGTAATTTACAGGCAGTGACATTTGACAGGTGATAGGTTTGGTGTAACCAGTTGGGGACAATGTTATTCCACAGACAAGAACAATGGCCCAAAGTGCTCACGCTGAAGGCCTCTCACTGAAGGGCTCCCAGAAATTCAGCTCACTTCATCCACAAGGGTGTAAGGATCACTCAAGATCAAAACAGTCATTATTCCAGAGGTATGGGGCTGGTGGTGAGAGTGCTCAATCCAAGGAAGTCTCCTTGGGCAGCACTCCAGTCGCAAGGGAAGGGCTTCCCACCACAGACATCCTGCTCCTAGGAAAACCATAGGGGCTATATCCTGGTCTGGTCAGGGCTTGTGGACATACATAGTAATAGTCCAGAAATTTCTCAGGACTGAGGCCTCTTATTACCTGGGGACCCTCTGTGTTGACCAAGGGGTCCTGCCCTTCTTGTTCCCCCCACAAAGGCAGGGTTGGGGTCATGGTGCACATGGCGCAGATGTGGAGTGGGGATGTGAGGAACAAAAGTGAAAAGGGCATAAAAGGTCATGAAAGGCTGGCAGCCACCTCAAACCAGCCAGGGAATGGGGTGGGATCCCCCTGACACAGCCTGTCATACCACCAGCTACAGTGGAACACAGAAGCTGTATTTCAGTGTTACTCATGAAATACAGAAGTCACAGTATATATTTCTACTACAAGAATATTCTTTTGTGGGTTAAGATGGATTTTTCATACACAGGTGTTCAAAAGAACCTTTTCTCCCTTCTCTGTCTTCAGCCTGAGCAAAAGACGTGGCTGAGTTTGCTCACAGCATGGATAACAGCAGTGGTCCTGTTTTTCTCCTTACCTTGCTCCTGCTGCAGAACACGAGCAGCCCCAAAGCCTCCACCCCTCCTGCTGGCTACGAGATGGCAGAACCTCCACCACCAGGAGCCAGCTCCAGCATGAACCACTCTCTGGTAGAATATGGGCTGAGGCCAGGGGAAATCGCAGCTGCCACTGTGGTTTGGGGAGCTCTGTGGCTGATCTCTGTCATGGGAAACTTCCTCGTCTGCTTAGTGATCCACAGGAGCAGGAGGACACAGTCCACCACCAACTACTTTGTGGTGTCCATGGCCTGTGCAGACCTCGTGAGCAGCGTGGGGAGCGCGCCCTTCTTGCTGCTGCAGCTGAGCTCTGGGCAGTGGATGCTGGGCAGCAGGGTGTGCCAGCTGGTCAGATACATCCAGTACCTCACACCTGGAGTCCAGATCTATGTGCTCCTCGCCATCAGCGTGGATCGATTCTACACCATTGTTTACCCCCTGAGCTTCAAAGTGTCCAGGGGGAAAGCCAAAAAAATGATTTTGACCTCTTGGCTCTGTGGTACTGTGTTTGCATCACCAGCCTGTTTTCTCTATGGCTCCAACAGTGACCACCACTGCAACTTTTTTCTTCCCAGTTCTTGGCAAGGATCTGCCTACAGTATCATCCACCTCCTCTTGGTGTTTTTGATCCCATCCCTCCTCATTAGCCTTTTTTACCAGAAAGTCATTAAGTACATTTGGAGAATAGGCACGGATGGAATGACTGTCAGGAGAACAACAAATATTGTTCCAAGAACAAAAGTAAAAACCATCAAGATGTTCTTAATGTTAAACTCAATGTTTCTGCTGTCTTGGCTGCCTTTCTTCACAGTACAGTTGTGGCACCCGCAGGAAACAGACTACAGAAAGAGCTCCTTGCTTTTCCTGGCCATCACCTGGATCTCCTTCAGTTCCTCAGCCTCTAAACCAACCCTCTACTCAATCTATAATGCAAACTTCAGAAGAGGGATGAAAGAAACTTTTTGCATGTCTGCCATGAAATGCTACAGAAGCAATGCATACACCATCACCACCAGTTCCAGGATAGCAAAAAAAAATCATGTTGGTATTGCAGATATTCCAGCTACAGCCAAAAGTGTCACCAAAGACTCCACCTATGATGCTTTTAACAGAGAAGCCAAGGAAAGAAAGCTTGCCTGGCCTATTCCATCCAATCCCCCAAATACATTTGTCTAGTGGGCTTTGTTGTTTTGAAAAGTTACTCGATACCCCCAGAAGAAGGAATTTTCTCTCCTTTTGAACAAATGTATAGCTACATATTTTTAACCCAGCTTTTGGGGGGGGGGGGGGGG